CCGGGCGCGGGGAGGGGCGCTGGGCGCGGGGGCGCGGGGGCCACGGGCAACCGGCGCGGAGGCGCGCGCGGGGTGCGCGGCCGGCGGGAAACTAACGCACCACAAACACGCACGTCCCTGCAGACGAGATCCACAAGCAAGCCCAATGCGCACGAAATCGACCCCGCAAACAAGCAAGGCCACTACAAAACTAATGACTTGCAGACAACAAGGCAAAAAGGCTCGCAACGCCCGACTCAGGAAAGCCGTCATACTGGACCTGAACGTGGACTCCAAAATCCACGCCGCCTACGGCACCGTGGTAGCCAGCCGCGTCCGAAACAGAACGGACGTGCTGATCCTGCGACGCTTCCCGCTCTGTCTCTTCCAGCGCGGCGCCACGGAAGGACCCTCGCTGCTGCTGCGAAAGCTCAAAGGGGAAAAGATCGACTGGCAAGCCATGCACGATGCCCGCTGGCCGAAGTCCCGCTGCCAAAAATGCGAAGAGCTCAAAAGCTGGGACCTCTTTTCTCACGCGCAGTGGGAACTGGTGCGGGCAAACCGCGGGGAACAATGCCTAGAATGCCAGCGCGGAGCGATCAACATGAAGAAGGGACCGCTCAAGCGCAACGTCAGCACCCAAGCGAGTCTGGCAAAGAGCGTCAAGTGCAACCAGTGCCACATCACAAAGGTCGAAGAAGCTTTCCCGAAGGCCCAACTGCACCAACAATCCATCAACAAAACAAAAAAAACCCATCCCTTGACAACAAAACAACCAAAGTACAGGTGTCCAGCCGAGCCACAGCCTCCAAGCTTGACGCCGCGCTGGTGCAGCTCGACTCAACCAAGCGATCGTAACTACCCTCCCCAAACCCGTCTCAGGGCTGCGACAAACAACAAATTGAGACACGAAACCAACAACACCCAAACACCCACCACTCAACACGCACCACCCACCACCCACCACCCGCCCCCTACCACCCACCGCCCACTACCCACTACCCACCACGCACCACCAACCACACACCTCCCACCGCCCACCGCCCACCACCCACCACCACCCAGCACCCGCCAGCCACCTCCCACCACTCACCGCCCACCGCCCACCACCCACCACCCACCACCCACCACCCACCACCGCCCCCCCCCCCCACACACCACGGCCACCACCCACACCTCCCCACTAACCACCACGCACCACCAACCACACGCCACCCGCCGGCCACCACCCGCCACCACCCACCGCTCACCACCCACCACCCACCGCCCACCGCCCACCGCCCACCGCCCACCGCCCACCGCCCACCACCCACCACCCGCCATCCACCACCCACCACCCACCGCCCACCGCCCACCGCCCACCAGCCAGACCCCCCCCCCACCTACACACCACCCACCACCCACCACCCACCACCTACCGCCATCCAGCACCCGCCAGCCACCACCCACCACCCACCACCCACAACACCACCCACCACCCCGCCAGCCACCACCCACCACCCACCACCCACCACCCACTACCCACCACCCACCATCCACCACCCGCCACCCACCATCTACCGCCCACCACCCACGCCCACCGCCCCCCCACCAACCACCGCGCACCACCAACCACACACCTCCCACCGCCCACCGCCCACCGCCCACCGCCCACCACCCACCACCACCCAGCACCCGTCAGCCACCTCCCACCACTCACCGCCCACCCGTCTCAGGGCTGCGACAAACAACAAATTAAGACGCGAAACCAAGAACACCCAACACGCACCACCCACCACTCAACACGCACCGCCCACCACCCAACACCCACCACCCACCACCCAACACCCACCCCCTACTACCCACCGCCCACTACCCACCACCCACCACGCACCACCAACCACACCCCCCCAACCGCCCACCGCCCACCACCCACCACCACCCACCACCACCCAGCACCCGCCAGCCACCTTCCACCACTCACCGCCCACCGCCCACCACCCACCACCCACCACCACACGCCCACCACCCGCACCTCCCCACTAACCACCACGTACCACCAACCACACGCCACCCACCGGCTAGCACCCGCGACTACCCAGCACCCCGCCAGCCACCACCCACCACCCACTACCCACCACCGCCCACCGCCCACCGCCCACCGCCCACCGGACCACCGCCGCACACCACCAACCACACACCACCCACCGCCCACAGCCCACCGCCCACCACCCACCACCCACCACCCACCACCCACGACCCACCACCAACCACCCACCACCCACCACCCAGCACCCACCACCAAGCACGGACCACCCACCACCAATCAACCCGCAACCCAACACCCACCCCGGCCACCCACCCATCGCGATGGCTACGTTTACGTTTCGAAATTTCGTTTCTGGGTTTAGACAACACCCCCCTATGAAAGAAGTGCACCCTCAAGTTGACTAGGGCGACTGCTACGCTGTCGAACCCTAAACCCTAAACCCTAAACCCTAAACCCTAAACCCTAAACCCTAAACCCTAAACCCTAAACCCTAAACCCTAAACCCCTAAACCTAAAAAACCCCTAAACCCTAAAAAAACCCTAAACCCTAAACCCTAAACCCCCTAAACCCTTAAAACCCTAAACACCTAAACCCTAAACCCAAACCCTAAACCCTAAACCCTAAACCCTTAAACCCTAAACCCTTAAAACCCTAAACCTAAAACCCTAAACCATAAACCTAAAACCCTAAACCCTTAAACCTAAACCCTAAACCCTCGTATTTATTTAAACCCTAAATGATCAAACACTCGTGGCTCTTGTGGCTCTTGATCAAAACTCGTGGCTTGACTCAACATCAAACTCGTGGCTCTTGATCAAAACTCGTGGCTCTTGATCAAAACTCGTGGCTCTTGATCAAAACTCGTGGCTCTTGATCAAAACTCGTGGCTCTTGATCAAAACTCCTGGCTTTTGATCAAAACTCGTGGTCTTTTGATCAAAACTCGTGGCTCTTGATCAAAACTCGTGGCTTTTGATGCTTTTTCGGTAAAACTCGTGGCTCTTGATCAAAACTCGTGGCTCTTGATCAAAACTCGTGGCTCTTGATCAAAACTCGTGGCTCTTGATCAAAACTCGTGGCTCTTGATCAAAACTCGTGGCTCTTGATCAAAACTCGTGGCTCTTGATCAAAACTCGTGGCTCTTGATCAAAACTCGTGGCTTTTGATGTTTTTCCAGTGTTTAGCGGCCTCGGGTTTAGGGCTCCAGTGTTTAGGGGCCTCGGGTTTAGGGCCCCAGTGTTTAGGGGCCTCGGGTTTAGGGCCAGAGCCTCCAGTGTTTAGCGGGTTTAGGGCCCCAGTGTTTAGGGGCCCCGGGTTTAGGGCCAGAGCCTTCAGTGTTTAGCGGCCTACGGTTTAGAGGTCCAGTGTTTAGGGGCCTCGGGTTTAGGGTCACAGTGTTTAGGGGCCTCGGGTTTAGGGCCGGAGTCCCCAGTGTTTAGCGGCCTACGGTTTAGAGGTCCAGTGTTTAGGGGCGTCGGGTTTAGGGCCCCAGTGTTTAGGGGCGTCGGGTTTAGGGCCAGAGCCTCCAGTGTTTAGCGGCCTACGGTTTAGAGGTCCAGTGTTTAGGGGCCTCGGGTTTAGGGCCCCAGTGTTTAGGGGCGTCGGGTTTAGGGCCAGGGCCCCCAGTGTTTAGCGGCCTACGGTTTAGAGGTCCAGTGTTTAGGGGCGTCGGGTTTAGGGCCCCAGTGTTTGGGGGCGTGGGGTTTAGGGCCAGAGCTCCCAGTGTTTAGCGGCCTACGGTTTAGAGGTCCAGTGTTTAGGGGCCTCGGGTTTAGGGCCCCAGTGTTTAGGGGCCTCGGGTTTAGGGCCAGGGCCCCCAATGTTTAGCGGCCTACGGTTTCCATTTGACAAGGCAAAGCTTGGGGCTGAGTTTACGTTAGCGGTATGGATGTTCGAGGGTGGGGTGGGGATTAGCTTGGTGGTAGGCTGCTGTGGTCGCAAAACGTTGGACAATGGATTGGGATGGGGTTTGGGTGTTGAGCTATGCTCAGAGCATTGCACAAATGAAACACATTGGAGTTCCAGGGTGGGGAGCGATTTACAAAAGCATGCCGGTGCGATTACAGCCTAAAGAATAAGTGAGCCAAGGTGCCGACGCAATGGTGCGAAAGATGAAGCTTGGCCTGTCAGAGACAGTGTGCAACGACATGACATGCAAGCTGCAACAGCATGACATGCAAGCTTTGGTAGAAGTTTTGACACACTGCGATGAGGCGCTACAGTCAAATCTTACAAGTCCTCGCTGGACGATGGCAGAAAATGCGCAAGAGACCGCGAATGTGAGTATTCGCTGGAGCTGTACATGCTCGGCTCCGTTAATGTCGACGATTCGGTCGACTCTCGGTAGCAAGCTGTTGAGCTACTGTCGGAAGGATGGCAACCCATGCTGCTGTGGGTGGATTCACTCTCGGAATTATGGCAGCTCATGTCGCTGCTGTGGGTCGATTCGCTCAAGGCCGACAGGTATTGCTGCTCGTCGGGATCGCCTTGGCCGTTGACGGGGCGCCAGTCGGTGCGTCGAATCTTGCCAAGATGCCAAACATCGGCGCGACGCTTTGCGCGAGAAAGGCCCACATATGCATACCCGCGATCCGGGAGTCGACGGTCGAACCACAGGCCGACCTTGTCCAAGGTCGCTCCCTGGGCTCGCCGCATGGTGGTTGCCCAACCATACGCGACCGGCAAGTATTTTTTCCCACGTTGCGTGATAGGATGCACGAGGATGGGGATGCCTTGGTCGGAATCTAACACAAAGACGTCGGACCGGAGCATGTTGCGGACGACGCCAGTGTTCCCGTTGACGAAGCCTCGGTCCTTGTCGATGTTCTGTGTTAGTCTGAGCCGCATGCCCCGGTCGATGGTGACTTTGCCGCTTTCAGCCGGAAGGCCTCCGCCGCCTCGAAGTAGAGCGGCTGCATCCGGGAACTCCAAAGCCAAACGACCGAGATTCAAAGCAGCTGCGCCCTGGTTGGTCACGGTCAAGAACGTGAATGTTCCTCCGGCTGCTGCCTCCACCGTTGCAGCGTGCCGAGCCGCTGTGTTGGCATCTGTTGGCAGCGTGCGACCTTGGAAGAACTCGAGCAAGGCTTGCCGGGAGGGCTGTCGAACCCGGGCCTGCTCCAAAAAATCCAGCATGGCAGGATCTACCGACCGAGCCGCTTCATGATGCTGCAACTTGACGAAGAGAATGCGATTCTCGTTTTTTTCTCGGTCAAGATCATCTTGAAGTTCCGGACCGCCATGGAGAGGCTGCAGTTGCTGAAAGTCCCCCACAAACACAATGAACGGGGAAGGACTCAGCTCGCCTAGACCGGTTTTCAGCTTGCGCCAGACGGAAGCTTCGATTTGGCTGACTTCGTCGATGACGATCAAGTCGTAGTGCCGCAACCGCCCTGGAGGAACATAGGCAGCATCTGCTTCCCGAGTTATGCGGAACGCTGAATGCACCGTCTCCATTGTCAGATTTTGAAGGTTTGGTAATCGTAGCCGGTACATGGAAACGAGCAGGCCGATCGGGCCAGCAATCAGCACGCGGCAGCCGTCTTCGAGGGCTTGGCGAACAGCCGCGATGATGACTTCTGTCTTTCCGGTCCCCGGACCACCCGCGACTTGGAGAATGCGATGTGCTTTTTCCATGGTTGCAGCATCACTGATGGTTGTGCCCTCGTGCACGAGCTGGAGCACTTGCTGCTGCTCTTTGGACCATATTCTGCGAGGAGGTGCAGCAACCGACCTTGCTTGCCATAGATTGGCATCTTCTCTTCCATCGCGAACGGCACACAGCAAGAGAGCACAGGCTTGGACACGAGCTTTGAAGGTCGCAATGCGATCCTGTGTCAATCCTCTCAAGATGAGCTCGGTCTCGATGCGCGCAAGTAGCTCACCAACATTGGGATTGAAAACCAAAGGGTCTTTGCGATAGAGTTGAAACTCATCCAAACAAAGGACAGCCTTGAGATGCTGACAACCTGTGGGTGCCGTGAAAGATGCTCGGCGGGTTTTCTCTGCTGTCAGACTCGGTGGATAGTGCTGCTGGTCCTTCGTGCAGTCGGGCATGAGGCGGAACTCCAGCACGTCGGGCAGGAAAGTGGCTGCCCATGCGCCCACGAAGATGTCGAGCAACTCAAACGGGAATGTCATGGCCACTCCGCAGTCAAAGTTCTTTGTGGGTCCTGCCACGTTTCTTCTGGCAACCTGCTTCTTGTCTGCATCGACGACACGAAACCGCCTCAACCATTGCATGTAAGAAAGGCCTTGTGCACATCCAAGAAGCTCTGGAGATAGTGTGAGGCAATGTTGATACACCAGATATTGCTCTCGCGAAGAATTTTTTGCTTCGCTTCCAGGGATGGGAGCAAAGAGAGCGTGCCCGCTAAACGAATGACGCACCATAGGCAGGCCAGCGAACTCCATGAGCACTTCCTGTTCCATGGGAGAACGTTTGCAGAGAAGCCGGTATGTTTGTCTCCATTTGCTCGTTTCGTTCGGCGAGCCATCCGTCTGCGCTTGCCGCTTGGAGAAGGACAGTGCATCCGAGGCTTTGGAGACATAGCCGGCCACGTATTGCAGAAGGTTGTGACTTCCATCGCCGCATTGCACATCCACTCGACTGCGAAAGAGGTCCTCCAGCAAGCGAACAAAGGCGGAACCGTGGAGAGTGTCGCTTCGACCGGCGACATCACTCGCGTTCCAGCCAGGAAGCAAGTCAGCCCACAAAACCGCGTGCAAATGCAGCGTTCCTCGAGACTGGAATTCGAAGCGGAACGACCACTGACGAACTCTGGCAATACCGATCTTCGCAAGGCTTGCTCCGTTCTTCAGGATGTGGTGCTCCAGCAGAACCTGCAAGGTGTGGTACAGATGCAACGTGATGTTTTGCTGCTGGTCTGTCAGGGAGCCCTCGTGAAACATCCCGTTGTGCAGCAGATAGCGCCACTCGGCTGGAGCTATGGTGAAGAAGACCGAGGGTAGAGCGTCCGATAAGCAACCTGTCTTTTCATGCTCCTGCCTGCAAATATCTTCCATTTTGCGCAGTTGTTGTTGCCAGTAGATTTCGAACCCGTCCATGTCGGACGCAATCTGCTCCGGCGCCACCTTCTGTTTCTCGGCGATGGCCTGCACTGAGCTAATGGTTTTTGCGAGGCAGACATCATAGAGCAGGCACTGCAGAGCGAAATCGTTGCAGTAGTCAATACACCGACTCTCGAGCTTTCTCATGAAGCCTGCGCGAATGCTCGGCTTGTTGCGAGAATTTGTCCAGCCCAACGGAGTCAATCTCTCTTGATAGTCCGTGTCGGCTAGACTCGCCAACGGATAAAGCCAAGGTCTGGCGGCCACTTCGATGCCTGGGGAGCGCAAGAGCAGTTCGGCTGTTTGCAACTCGCGACTGGACAACTCGCCGGTTGCTTGGAACAAGTCCGCGTGGTGATCCACCCACGCTCGATAAGTGTCGTTGTTCTGCAGGAGCCATGTGAAAGCCTTGGCAGCAAGATCATTTCGAGAAAGCTCGCGAAGAGGACGGGGTTGCCACCGACATCTGGTAAGAGTCTTCTTTTGCTTGCTTGTTATCTCAGCTTTGCCACCACGGCGACTTTGCCAATCCACATGAATGGTAAGCACCGCTAGCTGCTGAAGTTCTTTCTCGGAAAGAACGAGTGTCAAAGGCAGGTTGCTCGATGCAATCGCCGCAGACCAGCAGTGCCACGTGCTGCTCTGCGGTGTTGTGTAAACCATCAAGCGCCCGTCGAGGACATTGGCTGGAGCTGGGGCAAGAAGGTCTTCTGCTGGAACATCACACGATGGACGACATCGCTCCGCCTGCGTCAACCTCTCCAACGAGAAACGTTGTGTCTTAACTCTTGCACGCTTGCGGCCACATGAGGGGCAGAAGGTCCAAGAACCTTCGAGTAGCCACAGCCCCGAAGCATCCAGGTCCCTTGTGCTAGTGTGTCGCATCTGCGGCACCTTCTGCAGAAGACTGAAGTTGGTGGCATATTCTTCTTTCCAGGTCTCGTGAGAGCACGGCGTTGCCGCCTTTTCTCCGGGGGCGTTCTGTGTGTCGTTGCTTTCGGCTGGCAAAGAAAAGTCGCCAAAGCGCAGCCATCGCCGAAGTGTGCCAGGAGGCACAGGCCGTTCTCCACCAGCGGATCCACTTTCCAAGGCTGCCAGCACCATGGCAGGCGATCCGGCCGTGATGCCCTGCACGACTTTGACTTGCTGGTCTCCGGGCAAGTTGCCTAGACTGCTTCTCCAGGATGGCTTTCGTCTGAAGGCTGTTGAGGTAGGAACTTGACGAGTGGCTGCCTTCTGTGATAGTTCCGGTCGCCGAAACCAATGCATCAAGGTGTTTCGGTGAAGACGATACTGCGAGCTGGGGTCTGACAAAGTGAACTTCGAGATCTGCTTTCTGATGGAGTCCAGACATGCCGGGAAGGTGTCGCTGTCTTGCAAAGCCTTCACTATGATGTTCCGCTCCTCTTCGGTGTAGTTCAAGAGCGCATTTGACTTTCTGCGACTTTTCGGAAGCTGCTTCGTAGATGCTGCTGGCGCAGTGTTGTCTTCGAACTCGCCGAGCGGACTGGCGCCCACGGCAGCGTCACTGTTGGATACACTTTCTGGTTTCACTGAGGTCACAACGACATCACTGTTGTCTGAATCGTCCGAGGGATCCAGCTCGATGGCAGGTCGTTTGACGGCAGGACCTCGAGCAACATCAGGGTGATCGTCAGCACGAGTGTAGCAGACAATGTATGCTTTCTCGGGCGTGGGGCCTGCCTTGCCAGGAATTGCTGCAACTTCGGAGATGTTAGCGTCATCCAACCGCTGAAATCGATTTCCATGTGGCCGATATGCAACATAGTGGCCACTAGCCGCCGTTTCACCGATGTGACAAACCACTGCGCGAAGACGATAGCATGCGCCTTGGGCCACGTGAAGCTCTTCGTCAGCGACAACATTGTGATGGAGGACACCGTGCTCCGCATCCCAGCGTTTCAAAACGATGATGAGATTGTCTGGCCATTGAGGAACAGTTGTTAGGCGGAGAGGCGGCTGTCGATCTGTGCCTGCTCGAGTGCAAGCGGGATTGGTGCATTGCCACTCCAGAATGTCCTCTTGCTGCGTCGCTTGGTTGAGGTACTTCTCGATGGCAGACTGCACCGATCGGAGTGGCCCAACGTTGTCGACCAGAGAAACTTGCAAGGTTAAGAATTGCTCGGCCGGTAGTGCACGGCGATAGTTGCACGTGGTGCAGGCAAGGCAGCCGCATTCTGTTCCTTGAAGTTCGCGGTGGATGCTTGGGCAGTCCCACAGCAACTCGACTAAGAATTCTGCGCAATCTTCTTGACGGTGGCGATAGTACAAATCCAAGACTGGTTGCGGCAAAATTGCTGAAGTCGATGCTCTAGCTCTCGAACGAGTTGCCAACAGAGCTCGTTCTGTCGCCGTGGTTGGCTGCAAAGCATCAAAGCCCGGCAATGCGAACATCGCCTGGAGACCAGCATTGACGAAGCAGGAGTTGCCTGCATTTGCGAACGCCATGACCGGAGAGCGAGTCAAAGAGAGCGAGTCGGGCAGCGCAGAATAGAGCCAAAGACTACACTCAACTATGTGCTAGCACGGTCAGGACTAGGTCGCTTCATTCTGCAATCGCACTTTCGGTATTGATGCTCTTTTCGAACCACAAGCAACTTGAAAAGACGAGCGAGAAGTCGCTTCAGCGCCTACCGTCTGGTGGACGACTCAACTCGGAGAACCTCACCTCTCGGATTTGCGATCAAGGAAAGCTCTTCACAACCTTGTTGCAGAAGTCGGGCTACTCAGCTGACAAGCCTCTCTACGCATCAAAAAGCCCGGAAGGATCGGTGGAGGCTGCTTTGCTGCCCTCGGCTTGCTCCGGCTTTTGCATGCGGGCCTTCACTGCGTTGATGAAATCCTGTTCGGACATGGGTTTGCAGTGAACGGCAGCGCGAGCGACAAGTTCGGCTGTGTGTCCTGTGTAATACGTGTTGTTGCCCGAGAGCACAAACAGCAGGCCACGCAACGCACTCTTGTCCTTCGCCAACCAAGCGCGGAACTTCACCGCGGCCTCGAGCGGGTCCATGGGCTCGGCTGGAGTTTCGATGTTGGCGGTGCTTGTCCATTTGGCTTTCTTGGCTTGACGAAAGGATCCTGTGTCCGTGTGAGTCGAGGATCCTTTCCCGAAATTGAGGGCATGCAGCGTAGGCTCCAACTCCTTGATCTCTTCAAGCACCTTCTCATAGATCTTGGGGACAATGAGTTGCTTCATATTCTCGCTTTTGAAGTTTTTGATCGCCATCAACAATGCTGCTGCTGTCTGGCTCAAGCCGGCGCCGACATGCCAGGCGTCACCATCTGGGTTGGCAGCCAGATGAGAGTGATACGTGGTGCTCTTATTTCCCTTGGCCGTGCCCTTCCAGATCTGCTCGAGGTTGAGACTGTCCAGCGAGCTTTCACCATAAGGTTCCAGCATCTGTGCTGCAACGGCGTCGTAGGAGTACAACTTGGTTCTGCGCTCCTTTTTCTCCTCCTTCTTGTCCTCGTCCGGGCGATCGGAAGCGTCGAAGAGGTTGCTTGCCATGATAGAAATTGTTCGGCGTTGCGGAGACGCAGCGGAAGGCTGGGAGACAGCTTGAAACAGAGCTATTAGCACACACAGATGTTGGAAACTGCAGTACGACTAGGTCTCTTCCTCGTGGCAACGCAAATCGCAATGTCATCTCGTTTTTGTTACCACAAGCAACTTGAAAAGCCGAGCAAGAAGTCGCTTCAGCGCTTACCGTCTGGTGGACGCTTCAACTCGGAGAACCTCACCTCTCGGATTTGCGATCAAGGAAAGCTCTTTACACCCTTGTTGCAGAAGTCAGGCTACTTAGCTGACAAGCCTCTCACACATCAAAAAGCCCGGAAGGATCGGCGGAGGCTGCTTTGCTGCCCTCGGCTTGCTCCGGCTTTTGCATGCGGGCCTTCACTGCGTTGATGAAATCCTGTTCGGACATGGGTTTGCAGTGCACGGCAGCGCGAGCGACGAGTTCGGCTGTGTGTCCTGTGTAGTACGTGTTGTTGCCCGAGAGCACAAACAGCAGGCCACGAAACGCACTCTTGTCCTTCGCCAACCAAGCGCGGAACTTCACCGCGGCCTCGAGCGGGTCCATGGGCTCGGCTGGAGTTTCGATGTTGGCGGTGCTTGTCCATTTGGCTTTCTTGGCTTGACGAAAGGAACCTGTGTCCGTGTGAGTCGAGGATCCTTTCCCGAAATTGAGGGCATGCAGCGCAGGCTCCAACTCCTTGATCTCTTCAAGCACCTTCTCATAGATCTTGGGGACAATGAGTTGCTTCATATTCTCGCTTTTGAAGTTTTTGATCGCCATCAACAATGCTGCTGCTGTCTGGCTCAAGCCGGCGCCGACATGCCAGGCGTCACCATCTGGGTTGGCAGCCAGATGAGAGTGATACGTGGTGCTCTTATTTCCCTTGGCCGTGCCCTTCCAGATCTGCTCGAGATTGAGACTGTCCAGCGAGCTTTCACCATAAGGTTCCAGCATCTGTGCTGCAACGGCGTCGTAGGAGTACAACTTGGTTCTGCGCTCCTTTTTCTCCTCTTTCTTGTCCTCGTCCAGGCGATCGGAAGCGTCGAAGAGGTTGCTTGCCATGGTAGAAGTTGGGGTTGTCAGGCGTTGCGGAGACGCAGCGGCAGGCTAGGAGACAGCTTGAAACACAGCTACTTGCACATATAGATGTCGACGGACTGCGCAAAATTGCAGAAGAATGACTTGCATCTGGGTAACATTCTCAAGAACACGCCTGCAAGCTGCTTGGAACAAAGCTAAGGTTGCTTTTCAGCTTGTCGAGTGCAAAGACAGTTGCAGGAAAAGACAGAAAGAACAGCGGCTTCGGCAGTTGCCTGAACAGGTTCTGTTGAATGACAGCAAGAAGCTTTGCATGCGTCCACTAAGTTGGCAACGTAGTCCAAGCGAGCTGCAGGAAGCACTTACCCAACGGGCACCGACTTACGTAGCCCACGTTTGGCACACATGTTAATCTTACGGAACAGTCTAAAAGAAACTCACTCCTCAGATACAGCAGCCACAAGGAAGTCTGTCGATCACCTCCTCAGTGCTTGCCTTTCTTGTACGACCCTCTGGGCGCTCGCTTCGGGCGCGCGGGATCACGACGACGGTGAGCTCGAGCGACTCGACTTTCGAAGTCCTTGGCAACGGAATTCTCGAAGTCTTTCTCAATGTACTCCAAGGCTTTTTGCAAAGCCGCCGGCTCGAGAGCAGCCAGGAGCTTTGTCATCTTCTCCGGTGCTTGCTCGATCATGCCCTTCAAAGTCTTGTTGCAGCAGATGTCGCAGCGGTCCGAGGTCGTCGCCAAGGCCGCACCATCAACGCCAAAGATGCATCCGTGGCCTTCTCGACCCGAGCAAGGCTTTGGTTCAATTGCCTCAGTTGCTTCCTTGGTTCGTCGAGGTCGACTGCCTCGTCGCGGTCGAGCTGGATCTTTGCGCTGACGAGCTCTCTGGACGCGAGCTTGATAATCGGCAGCAACGTCCGAGCCCAGAGCTTCTTGCACGTATTGGAAAGCTTGATTGGCACTGCCTACGTCCAAGCCGAGGAGCAAATGTGTAAGTCGCATGGACAAGCACTTGTGAAGTTGAACAATCATGTTCTTGTCGCACAGATCGCAGTGACCACTGGGAGCAGCGCCAGCTGCTGCTGACAACTGTCCAAAGACACAAGGCTGCCCAGGCCGCCCTGTGCAAGTGCCGTGGCCTTGGTGAGCTGCCCAAAGCTCCTTGAATGCAAAGCCTCTGCCACTTGGTTCAAGCTTCTTGCTCTCAGCCGGGAGCTCTCTTTTCACGCTCTTCGCCGAGAGCTCTTTTTTCACGCTCTCCGCCTTGACTCTCTTCTTAGATGAAGATGTTGTGCTCGGGGGTAGCTCTGTCATGAGATCGTGCCGATGATGCTCCTGCTTCGGCACTTTGGCGATGTTCCCTTTCACTGTGCCGGTGGTGCCGCTTTCGTCGCACAGGTCAATGGTGCCCGACTTGAGTTTTTGGGCAAAGGGCATGATTGCAAGCAACAGGCTGACAAAAACAGAACTCTACGAACTGAACCAAAGAAGCTACTTGACACAGAGAGTGTAAGCAGCAGAGCTACGTTGCAATGCGGCATGTCTATTCACGTAGTGCGTTTGCAGGTGCATGCTGGCGGCAAAAACCCCGCCTTGCAATCACAGGCAACAGGACCCAGACACCGGCTCGGCCTCTCAAGAATGTGCAAGGTGCAGCTGCATGCAGAAACATGCTCGTTTCAGCCCAGCTCGCGCTTCCCTCGTGCAAAGGGCATGATTGCAAACAACAGGCTCACAAAGCCAGGACTGTACGACCTCAACCAAAGAAGCTAGTTGACACAGAGAGTGTAAGCAGCAGAGCTAGCTTGCAATTCGGCATGTCTATGCATGTAGCGCATTTGCAGGTGCTTGCTGGCGGCCAAAACCCCGCCTTGCAACCATAGGCAGCAGGACCCAGGCACTGGCTCGCTCTCTCAAGACTGTGCATGTTGCAGCTGTTTGCAGAAACATGCTCGTTTCAGTTCTTCCCTTGTGCTCGCATGACGCTCATATGTGCCGACTATAATGTAGTTTTCAGAGCCAAGGTACGCCGCTCACAGGGGACTGAGCTGCAGTCAGATGCAAACAAACCTGTCCATGTCCACAGTGATCCGCATCATGCGTGTACATTGCTTCCATTGCTGTTGCTAAACCTTAAAATTTCTAAGGTGTCAACACCGTTGCTGGCTTGTTTTAAGTAAAGCAAGTGAAACGGTGAAGTTGCTACTGTCAGTAAACCCTAATATTCGTATGGTTGCAACACCGTTGCTTGCTTGTCTTAAGCAAAGCAAGTGAAAGTCTGAAGCTGCTGTTGTCGCTAAACCCTAAAATTCGTATGGTTGCAACACCGTTGCTTGCTTGTTTGAAGTAAGGCAACGACAAGCTTGAAGCTGCTGCTGTCGTTAAACCTTAAAATGCCAATGGTGTCAATACCGTTGCTTGCTTGTTTTATGTAAAGCAAGTCAAAGATTGAAGCTGCTGCTGTCGCTAACCCTTAAAATGCCTATGGTGTCCAGACCGTTGCATGCTTGTTTTAAGTCAAGCAAGTGAAAGAGTGAAGCTGCTGCTGTCGCTAAACCTTAAAATTTCTATGGTGTCGACACCGTTGCTTGCTTGTTTGAAGTATGGCAATGAAAAGCTTGAAGCTGCTGCTGTTGCTAAACTTTAAAATGCCTATGGTGTCAATACCGTTGCTTGCATGTTTTATGTAAAGCAAGTGCAAGATTGAAGCTGCTGCTGTCGCTAACCCTTAAAATGCTTATGGTGTCGAGACCGTTGCGTGCTCGTTTTCAGTCAAGCAAGTGAAAGACTGAAGCTGCTGCTGTCGCTAAACCTTAAAATTTCTATGGTGTCGACACCGTAGCTTTGCTTGTTTGAAGTATGGCAAGGAAAAGGTTGAAGCTGCT